TAAAACCAAAAATAAGAAAATGTAAAAAACAAATATTTTCTTCATTATTTGTCTCCAAAACCAAAATGAAAAAACACATAAAGATTTATTTTTTCAGTTTTTGATTTTGTGTTTAAATGAAAAATTTAAAAACGGAGAACGGACTAAAACCAGGACTAAACCCGGACTAAAACCAGGTCTAAACCAGGACTAAACCAGATCTAAACCAGGACTAAACCAGGTCTAAACCAGGACTGAAACCAGGTCTAAACCAGGACTAAATCAGGTCTAAATCAGGACTAAACCAGATCTAAACCAGGACTAAACCAGGTCTAAACCAGGACTAAATCAGGTCTAAACCAGGACTAAATCAGGTCTAAACCAGGACTAAACCAGGTCTAAACCAGGACTGAACCAGGACTAAAACAGGACTAAACAGTTTTCAGTCCTGGTCTCAGTCCCGGTCTGGTTCTGGTCTGGTGCTGGACCTGTTTTAGTCCTGTTTTAATCCTGGTTTAGTCCATTCTCCGTTTTTTCCATTTTTCATTTAAACACAACATTGAAAACTGAAAAATTTAATCTTTATGTGTTTTTTATTTTGATTTTGGAGACAAATAATAAAAGTTGTAAATATTTGTTTTTTTATTTTCTTATTTTTGGTTTTATTTTGAAAAACAAACAAATGAACGACACACAGGCAGATTCCAAAAGCTTTTATTATTTTTAAATAACATTTCAGAAATAAAAAAAAAAAAAAAAGCCTAAGTTGGACATTTTATTTTCTTGTTTTGGACACATTTATCTGTCGTCGGACTGTGACCAATGCAAGAAAAATTTCCAACTCAAGGCTTTTTTTTTCTTTTTTGCTGAAACGTCATTTCAAAATAATAAAAGCGTTTGTTCGTCTGAGTTCTGTGTATTTCCATTTTTATTTAGTTGTTTCTGTTTTTGTGCGTTTATAAAAACCTTGTGTTTCCTGTTTCGTCTGATTCTAGTTTTGGAACATTTTAAATCCTGTCGGTGTTTTTACTTTCGTCTCTTTAAAACTAAAGACGTTCAGAAAGAATCACAAAAGACTCATGAAAACTGAACAGGCACTGGAGCGAAGTGAAACAGACATGAAAACTCCAGGACTTTTCCAGGATTTCCATGATCCTGGAAACCTGCCTCGTGAAGAGAGTGAGAGCAGAAGAAAGATATAAACATAATCTAATAATGGAATCATCTTTCATCGTGTTTCTGTGAAGCAGCTCAATCGTTTAAATGTTCTACAGAAATAAACTGGAATTAAATCTGTAATAATAATAAAATAATAAAATAAAATAATAAAATAAAATAATAATAAAATAAAATAATAATAATAAAATAAAATAATAATAATAATAATAATGTGAGGTGAGTTTAAACGTGGATCTGAGGCTCCGACAAACAAACGAGAAAAACAAAAACACAAACACAGGAAATCAAACTTTCACGTGTTTCACTTTTAAAGCTGCACTGCGGAGCTTTTCCTTGTCTTGTGTGACAGGTCAGATCTGCGGAGAGGCGACGGCGCTCGCAGGAAGAACGTCTGTGCGTTTTGATAAAGTGTTTCGGACGATATAAAGACTTGAGGAAATTTGCAGAGAATGTGCAGACGAGCGGTGGGAAAAGTACAGAATGCAGCTTTAAAACAAACACGGCTTCAGGAAACAGGAAACAGGAAGCCAGAGGGTCAGGTGAGGGTCAGGTGAGGGTCAGGTGAGGGTCAAGGGTCAGGTGAGGGTCAGGTGAGGGTCAGGTGAGGGTCAGGTGAGGGTCAGGTGAAGGTCAGGTGAGGGTCAGGTGAGGGTCAGGTGAGGGTCAGGTGAGGGTCAGGTGAAGGTCAGGTGAGGGTCAGGTGAGGGTCAGGTGAGGTCAGGTGAGGGTCAGGTGAGGGTCAGGTGAGGGTCGTATCCTCTTCGATCACAGACGTTTTCCCTCTGAGTTTGTTGAACACCGCAGACTCCATTTCCCATGATGCCTCGGGCCCGTGTGTGTCTGTCGGAGGCCTGTGATTGGCTGAGGTGTGTGTGATGTCACGAGGTGGTCGGCGGTTTCACTCCACGATGAGTTTCTGCGTCGCGTACAACTGCCCCACGACGACCTGCCGACGGCAAACAGCACACGGTCACATCCAGATTCAAAAAACAAAAAAACAAGAAGAAGAAATTTATCCAAACTTTAAACCTTCACGAGCTTTTTTATTTGTGCGAGTCTGATCACAACTGTGGTGTTTGTTTACATTATTGTTGCTAGGAAACAGTTATGGAATTACTTCTGTGTATGTCACATCTGCTGCAAAAGTGACCTATTTATTTATTTATGTATTTTTATATTTTTATTTATTTATTTATTTAAGTGGCTTTATTTATTTATCTATTATTATTATTATTATTATTATTATTATTATTATTATTATTTTATTTTTTATTTTTTTTCACAGGAACAAAGTGCATTAAATAAATCAATGAAACAGTTGCTCGGCCTCGTTCATAGTTCATAAGAAGTTCTTTCAGAATGACGATGTTTTTGTGACGGAGGCAAAAAAAGTCGTAGCTCTTTGATAAATGTTGTGAAAAGACATTTACATTTCACACATTTGGGTTTGTGGATGAAAAATTGAGTATAAATAATAATAATAATAATAATTCAGAAATCGTTCATGTTTTTTATCCAAAGATAAATGTGTTTCTTGGTGAATTCTTTTAGATTTTATATGTTTTAAAAAACAACCTGAAGTGACACTTTTGACAGGAAGTGACATCACGAACAAAACTCTGATCTTAAACTAAACAGAATTTTTCTTTCCTCATTTTGATGTTTTTTTTTTTTTTTTCTGAACAAACTGTGTCTGTTCCTGCGGCGAACAGCAGAGGGCGACGTCTCCCACCACTCCAACTTTAAACCAGGACTAAACCAGGACTAAACCAGGTCTAAACCAGGTCTAAACCAGGTCTAAACCAGGTCTAAACCAGGACTAAACCAGGTCTAAACCAAGTCTAAACCAGGTCTAAACCAGGCCTGGTCCAGGCCTGGAGCGCCCCCTACCTGTCTCTGGATGATCTGCAGGTTCCGGTGTCCCTCCTGGATCAGACCCTGGATCAGGTCCGGGTCTTGGACCGTCTGATTCTCCCTGAACGCATCACGCACCCGCCGCAGAGCGTACGTCCTGAAACACACACACACACGTGAGACCAGGACCAGGACCAGGACCAGGGACCAGAACCAGACCAGGACTAAACCGCCGCAGAGCGTACGTCCTGAAACAGAAACACATCAGACCAGGACCAGGACCAGGACCAGGACCAGACCAAGACTGAGGAGAAAACTCAAGCTCAAACTGAGTCTTGTGGATCTTTTCTGGGTTCGTGTGTTGACTTGTTTCTTCACTCTGCACTTTTATATCTCTGTCCTCTGATCTGTTCCTGCTCTAATTTCATTTTACAATAATTGAATCATTTAAACTTCAGTATTTGCTCTTTAATCCAGAATGACCACAATTTAAAATAAAAACTGGGACTTCCTCGGGTCTGTGGCGGTCGGTAAAAATAAAATTGTGAATCAAGTGAAACGTGATGAAGTAAAATTGTTCTGCAGAGAAAAATCACCACCAACATGAGTCAGAACTGTCACATTTTCTTTGAGTTTTGTCGTTTTTAATCAGACTTTTACCCAAACTAATGTCTCTGTTGACTGTTGGCATTGGCCCCGTGTCCCTCATTTCTAAGATTTTTCTCAAACTGAAACTCTAAGTCAAGTTATTTTTATTTTTATTCCACATTTAAATGGAGGATTCAGAGTCGGTTTAACCTCGAGTCGTTTGCTCCAAAACCTCCAGGTCACATCTGAGTCTCTGCTGCTGGAGGACGAGACGGTGAGACGAACAAACCGAGAGAAATGGGAATAAAATCTGATATAAACTGATGATGAAGAAAATAAGGAAACATAAGGCCTGATTTTGGAAAGAAGAAAACAAACAAAAAAACTTAGAAATGAGGGAACATAGACACACTGCCTTGACAGAAACAGTTTGGTCCAAAAGAGACACTGGGACATTTCTTGTATAAACTGGGACAAATCAGTGGTTTAGTATAAATCTGCAGGGACAGAGGCACAGGGTCAGGACGGGGACTGTCCCGGGGACACAGGGACATTTGGTCGCCCTAAACCTGGGACACTCTCGATTTTAAAAACTGTAAAACGAGGACGTAATTAAGGAAAACCTTTCTGCACAGAGTTTATTCATGATCAACATGAGTCAGTTTAGTCACATTTTCTTTGTGTTTTGGTCGTTTTTAAGCAGATTCTCTATATTTAAAGTTTGTATGGAGGATTTTTTTTGTTTCAAATTGTCAGTGAAAGTTTAAAATACCATTACAGAGACGCAGCAGCTTTGGAATTATGACGACCAAAAAAAAAAAAAAAGGATGAAGATCGCGCGCTGACGAGTCACTTTGATTGACAACCTGACAGCCAATAGAAAATGAGGCAGCCTTGTTTTCTATTGGCTGATGTTTATCTGGCCTCACTACATCCTCAGTTGGTAGATTTTCAATCTTTTTTTTTTGGTCATAATTCCAAAGCTGCTGCGTCTCTGTAATGGTATTTTAAACTTTCACTGACAATTTGAAACAAAAACAAAAAAATCCTCCATACAACCTTTAATGACAGCAGCTCCAGTCCGGACTGGGACTGTCCCGGGAAACAGGGACATGGACTCTCTGGTTTTGTTGTTCTTAAACTGTCCTCTGCTCTTCAAAACTCCTCCAAACTCACATTTCAACTCTTTATTTCGGCCTGACACTGCGGGTTTAAGAGCTTTAACGTGAGTTCTGTCTCTTCTGATCATTTTAAACAAACCCTTCAGATCGTGGCCGTGGTTCTGCACTTTTATTTCCCTCATGTTCGTCCCGCACGTTTCAGTCTCACGATGTAAACACTGCGCACTTCAGCGCGTTTCGCTTCACTTCGCTCTTTTGAACCGCGGCTTTTAACCATCACAAACACAAACCGCGGGTCACATTTGTCACCTGTTCGTTCGTCTCACCTGTAGTTGTACGAAGGAAACTTTGTGCTCTCCCGGAGGAGCATTTTGTAAAGAGAAACGACCTGAGAACGACACGGAGCCGCCATCGCTGCCGCTGAACTCACAGACACGAGACTAGAGCTCACGTCAACGTCAACCGCTGACGTCAGCGCGTCAACACGACCGCCATCTTGGTACAGGAGTAACGCGGCTTTAAAGTCCAAGATTAGACCTGGTTTAGTTTTAGACCTGGTTTAATTCTGTTTTAGTCCTGGTTCTGTTGTTAGGATAAAATCTAGGCTTATTTATTTTCTATAATTACTTCTGTGGTTCATTATTGACAGTGTCAGGAGTAACAGATTACAGTAATCAGAGTACAAATGATGAGGAACTGTATTCAGTTACAGTTACTGTTTCAGTGAGTGGTAATTGGATTACAGTTACTTTGTTGAAATAAATGGATTAAACACAGAGGGATTTTACTGTTTTCACATTTCGGGCTATTTGCCTTTTTTTTTTTTTTTTCTCTGTAATTCTACTCATTGCCGGACACTAAACCAGGACTAAACCAGGACTAAACCAGGACTAAACCAGGACTAAATCAGGACTAAACCAGGACTAAACCAGGACTAAACCAGGACTAAACCAGGACTAAACCAGGACTAAACCAGGACTAAAACAGGACTAAACCAGATCTAAACCAGGACTAAACCAGGACTAAACCAGATCTAAACCAGGACTAAACCAGGACTAAATCAGGACTAAACCAGGACTAAACCAGGACTAAACCAGGACTAAACCCAGGTCCAAACCAGATCTAAAACAGGATTGATCAGGACTAAATCCTGCTGTGTGGACGTGTTTCTTCGTTTTCTATCAATAATATTTTTAATTTGGTTCAGTAAAGTTTGGACTTTTTATTTTCTTTTATCAGACAAAACTTCTTATGTGAAGATTTGATGGATTCAGTTACAAACTACATTTTGATGTATGTAATCTGTAATCTGTAGGGGATTACATTTTAAAAGTAATTTTCCAACACTGATCACTGAACCGAGGTCATTTAAAGTTTGAGGTTCTGATCGCAGCTGCGACTCTCATAGATGCTGAACATGTCAAGACAAACACAAGATCATTTAATCTCTGTCAGGGAATTGACCCCAACCTCAAATACTAAAGAACACGTCAGGGACACAGTGGTTGGTTTTACTGTCTGTCTCATCCTAACTGAAGCTCTCTTCTCTCCATCGGCCTTTTATTGTAGAACATCACAATGATCATACAGTAGGTCACTTTGAATACAGCACCTGTTGTTCACATGTTGGTCTCATGACTGACAAGCTTCACTGACACAGCCCCATTACACACAGGTTTCACACTGCAGGTGGTAGAGCCTCTAGCAGTTCCCACAGTTCTGTGTTAACCTCCTGATGTTGAAAAAGAGTCTCCCATACAGTCAATTTTGTAGGCTTAAAAGAATATGCCACAAAACTGATGACTTTGAAAGAAATTTAAGTAATATGATGACAAACTTTGAACAAAGGGGTTATAAGAAATCTATTTTAAATGATGCTGCCACTAAAGTAAAAGGAAAATCTAGATCTGATTTTCTGAGGGTCGACCCTCCAAAAAATGCCAATAAGCGGATTGTATTTTCTACTGGATACTCAAAACCCGCGGAACAACTTCAAAACATCATAACTAAACATTGGCATATACTAAAAACTGACCCTTCATTGGGTGTGGCTTTCAAAGAGCTCCCCCTAGTGGTGTATAAAAGAGGAAGAAACCTTGGAGATAGACTTGTGCACTTCTACCTTCCTCCTAATCAAACCACACACCAAACTATACTGACTCCTATTCCTGATGGAAATCGTCGTTGTGGTGGTGCAGTCAGTGTAACTATACATATCGCTGCAATAGTTTTAAGCTCCTCACACTGGTAAAGAAATAAAGATCAAAGGAATTATATCCTGTAACACCAAGTCTGTGATTTATATGATCACCTGCCCCTGGGGTAAAGCTTCTGTGGGTAAAACCAGCAGGACTTTAAAAACACGTCCTGCAGAGCAGAGGAGAACAATCAGATGTAAAAACATGAACTATCCTGTGGCGGCTCATTTTGTTGATTTGAACCATCCTGTCTCTTCCTTAAGATATATTGGCATCGAACATGTGGAACTGCCCCCTAGAGGTGAGAATCTAGAGATGCTCCTGTCAAAAAGAGACACTTCTGGATTCACCATCTTAAAACTTTTACTCCTCATGGACTTAATATCGAGTTTGATCTAAGATGTTTTTTGTAATAGACAAACTATTTTTGTATTTTATAAAATGTTTTTTATGTAAACTGTTGTTTCTTGTTGTAGAATGGGCTGAACTCACTGGGTGACCTCACTTTGGGACGTCCCGTTCATTGAGTGGGTTTATGGGCACCTGGGCTGTGGTCCAAGACAAGAAAAATATCTGATGAAGGCTTTTTTTGCCGAAACGTTATTTTGTTAATAAAATAGTATTTGGACATCGGCCAACCGAGTGTGCTATGCATTTTTTCATTCTGAACCTCCTGATGTTCACCATGACTATTTGTTTCTCCAGGTACATTATCTTTAATGAGTCAGCAGACACATCATCCATATCACCTGATACAACCTGAACACAACAAGACAAGTACAACAAAAAGCCAATGTTGATAACTTCTACTACATCATGATGACCTTTACATGAGAAATGCTTATAACATAAACATTCTCTAACATCTCTCAAATAATAAACAAACTGAACAGTACAAGAAGGACACAGAGACGACGTCACCTCATGTTTGTCAGTCAGATGGAGTCTGACTGGACTGTGCAACGTGTCGAGACGTCTGCTGATCTGTGCTCCAACGAAGAGGCGCTAAATCTAAACCACGTCCTCCCACTATAGTCCACGTGTAAAAGTCACTGTGCAGGTCACACATACATTCAGTCTCTGCATGGGAAATGTTGACACAGACTCATTGTACAAGTGTGACTTTATAATATTGGAATAAGTTCATTGTCTGGACTTTATTTCTGTTTCAAGTGTAAGTTTTATCTGAGCAGAAACTAACAAACATGAGAACAAAAGGTTGTTTTCCTCAACACATTAGTCCTGATTTAGACCTGGTTTAGTCCTGGTTTAGTCCTCATTTAGTCCTGGTTTAGTCCTGGTTTAGTCCTGATTTAGACCTGGTTTAGTCCTGGTTTAGTTCTGTTTTAGTCCTGGTTTAGTCCTGATTTAGTCCTGGTTTAGACCTGTTTTAGTCCTGTTTTAGTCCTGATTTAGACCTGGTTTAGTTCTGGTTTAGTCCCGTTTTAGTTCTGGAAGTCCCGTACCAAGATGGCGGCGGTATTAACGCGCGTAAAGAAGCTAACCGTGAGCTCTACTGTTCTATAACGCTCCTCTCTAACCTGGTGCTAATGATGCTACCCAGAGAGGACCCCAGCCTGCCCAGAGGACCCCGACCAGCGCCTGCTCAAAAATTTAATTAAAAAAACGAATTATTCACTTTCTGTGATTTTATTCACGAGTGTAACTGTACAGACACATAAAACATAAAATCCTGCATAATTAAATATACTTATATGAAATAAAGACGTTGTATTTGTGATAAAACATTGAAGGCAGATGTGAGCGCCGCCCCTGACCGCAGTGCGAGCGGCGCAGTGACGGAGGTGAGTTTCACCTTCTTCATTTTTCAATAAACTCGGATATTTTAATAATGTGAAGTTTTTGGAACATAAACATGATGTGAGAGACAGAGGAGCGTCTCCGACTCCACATGCAGCTGTTTACACATGTTTACACATGTTTACAGATGGTTTAAAGTCTGAGTTTGGAGAGAAATGATCTGTTCTGCTGCACGTTAGCCGCGCGCTAACAACACCAGAGCTAAAGTTCAAAACAAAAGTCACGGAAATGTTCAGACTTTTTCATTAGATTTGTTTTTTTACATTATATTTGGTGTTAAAATGAGGTGAAGAGTCCAAAGCACAGGTGTCAAACATGCGGCCCGGGGGCCAGATCCGGCCCTCCAAGACCTTTAATGTGGCCCTCGGCTGATTTTCTACTTAAATATTTGAATTATATTTTCTATTAAAATATTGGTAGTTTTCTGCGTCACTTATCACAGCAGCGTCTCCAGCGTCTCTGTACGTGGCCCCTCCCACCAGAGCAGCACAAATGAAGACTTGTCTCTTTCCAAACGCTCTTAAAGGACGATCGTTTTGACTGTTGACCGTGACCCTCATCAGAAAAATGTCCAACATGAGAAAAGTGGAGCCGAGTGCAGGATTTTACAACAAAAATTGACTTATTCCTATTTGCATACAAAATAATGTTAAAATTGAAATTGTATTTTTCTTAAAGTTTCAGGTTGTTCATATATATTATATATTTTGTAAAAGAAAGAGTTCATCAATTCAAAAAAGATTTGTGTAATAGATTTGTGTTTCTCTGCACAAATATTTGAACTTCTTGTTCTTTTTGGGGTTTATATGACCTGAGTTTTCTGATCCGGACACTTTGGGGTCAGAGTCGGTTGGACTCGACCCGGAACAACATGAGTTTGAGACACGTCGGATCTAAAGCTTCAGATGTTTTAATGTGGAGAAAAACAGGAGAATTATTATTACTGAACAAAATGTATTCTGCTTCTAAAACGACACAAGAAGAAAACTGAAACTGTGTGAAGTGAGTCCTGGTTTAGTCCTGGTTTAGTCCTGGTTTAGTCCTGGTTTAGACCTGGTTTAGTCCTGGTTTAGTCCTGGTTTAGACCTGGTTTAGTCCTGGTTTAGTCCTGGTTTAGACCTGGTTTAGTCCTGGTTTAGTCCTGGTTTACCTGGTTTAGTTTAGACCTGGTTTAGTCCCTGGTTTAGTCCTGGTTCCTCCTGCCTCTCTCAGCTCCTCTCCTCCTCTCCTCTCTCCTCTCCTCCTCTCCTCTCCTCTCTCTCCTCCTCTCCTCTCCTCTCCTCCTCCTCCTCCTCTCTCCTCCTCTCTCTCTCTCCTCCTCCTCCTCCTCCTCTCCTCCTCTCCTCTCCTCCTCCCTCCTCTCCTCCTCCTCCTCCTCCTCTCCTCTCTCTCCTCTCCTCCTCCTCCTCCTCTCCTCCTCCTCCTCCTCCTCTTCCTCTCCTCCTCTCCTCTCCTCCTCTCCTCCTCTCTCCTCCTCCTCCTCCTCTCCTCCTCCTCCTCTTCTTCCTCTTCCTCTTCTCTCCGTCTGTAAAGGTCAGATGTTCTTCCTGTTTATTGTGTCCTGTTGTTCCTAAAGGTCACTGAAGGTCACCGACATTTCACTTTATTCACACTCAGTGAACCAGAACCAAGACCAGGACCAAGACCAGGACCAAGACCAGAACCAGAACCAAGACCAGGACCAAGACCAGGACTGAACCAGGACTAAACCAGTCTAAAACCAGGTCTAAACCAGGTCTAAACCAGGACTGAACCAGGACTGAACCAGGACTACCACAGTTTAGACTTGTCATAGTCCTTGTTTTAGTAGTAGTAGTCCTGGTTTAGTCCTGGTTTAGTCCTGGTTCAGTCCTGGTTTAGTTCTTGTTTAGTCCTGGTTCAGTATCTGTTTCAATCCCGGTTTAGTCCTGGTCCAGTACCTGGTCTTCAGTGGGAGTTTGGTTTAATTTTAGACTCAGGAGTTGGAGGAGGTTTATGTAAGAGCAGCGCTGAGGCTGAAAGAAACAAACAGAACCAGGACTAAACCAGGACTAAACCAGGTCTAAACCAGGTCTAAACCAGGACTAAACCAGGACTAAACCAGGACTAAACCAGGCTAAACCAGGACTAAACCAGGACTAAACCAGGTCTAAACCAGGACTAAACCAGGACTACACCAGGACTAAACCAGGTCTAAAACCAGGTCTAAACCAGGACTAAACCAGGACTAAACCAGGACTAAACCAGGACTAAACCAGGTCTAAACCAGATCTAAACCAGGACTAAACCAGGACTAAACCAGGACTAAACCAGGAAACCAGGACTAAACCAGGACTAAACCAGGTCTAAACCAGGACTAAACCAGGACTAAACCAGGACTAAACCAGGTCTAAACCAGGACTAAACCAGGACTAAAACAGGTCTAAACCAGATCTAAACCAGATCTAAACCAGGTCTAAACCAGGACTAAACCAGGACTAAACCAGGTCTAAACCAGGTCTAAACCAGGACTAAACCAGGTCTAAACCAGGACTAAACCAGGACTAACCAGGACTAAACCAGGACTAAAACCAGGACTAAACCAGGACTAAACCAGGACTAAACCAGGACTAAAACAGGTCTAAACCAGGACTAAACCAGGACTAAACCAGGTCTAAACCAGGTCTAAACCAGGACTAAACCAGGACTAAACCAGGACTAAAACAGTCTAAACCAGGACTAAACCAGGACTAAAACCAGGTCTAAACCAGATCTAAACCAGATCTAAACCAGGACTAAACCAGGTCTAAACCAGGTCTAAACCAGGACTAAACCAGGTCTAAACCAGGACTAAACCAGGTCTAAACCAGGACTAAACCAGGACTAAACCAGGTCTAAACCAGGTCTAAACCAGGACTAAACCAGGTCTAAACCAGGACTAAACCAGGACTAAACCAGGACTAAACCAGGACTAAACCAGGACTAAACCAGGTCTAAACCAGGACTAAACCAGGTCTAAACCAGGTCTAAACCAGGACTAAACCAGGACTAAACCAGGTCTAAACCAGGACTAAACCAGGACTAAACCAGGACTAAACCAGGTCTAAACCAGGACTAAACCAGGACTAAACCAGGTCTAAACCAGGTCTAAACCAGGACTAAACCAGGTCTAAACCAGACTAAACCAGGACTAAACCAGGACTAAACCAGGTCTAAACCAGGACTAAACCAGGTCTAAACCAGGACTAAACCAGGTCTAAACCAGGACTAAACCAGGTCTAAACCAGGACTAAACCAGGACTAAACCAGGACTAAACCAGGTCTAAACCAGGACTAAACCAGGACTAAAGGACTAAACCAGGACTAAACCAGGACTAAACCAGGACTAAACCAGGTCTAAACCAGGACTAAACCAGGACTAAACCAGGACTAAACCATCTAAACCAGGACTCTAAACCAGGAACCAGGACTAAACCACTAAACCAAACCAGGTCTAAACCAGGGACTAAACCAGGTCTAAACCAGGACTAAACCAGGACTAAACCAGGACTAAACCAGGTCTAAACCAGGTCTAAACCAGATCTAAACCAGGACTAAACCAGGACTAAACCAGGGCCACGTCTGGACGGTTTTATTTTATATTAAATCTTTTTAAATTGCATTTAATATCATGTATTTTATGTTTAGTATTACACAGAGACTAAACCAGGACTAAACTAAGACTAAACCAGGACTAAACTAAGACTAAACCAGGACTAAACCAGGACTAAACTAAGACTAAACCAGGACTAAAGCTGGACAAAATCAGAACTAAACTGTATTTACAAAAAGGTCTAAATCCAGTCTAAACCAGATCTAAACCAGGTCTAAAAAAGGTCTAAATCTGGTCTAAACCCGGCCCAATCCAGATCTAAACCCGGTCTAAACCTGGTCTTGTTTGTGTGTTTTTCCGGTGCTGGAGTCCTTGAGAGCAGATGGTCTCTCTGTGGGTCCAGGTCCCCCTCTGGTCCAGGGAAATCCTTTTGGCTCAAACAAGACCAAGGAGCTTTTAGTCCTGGTTTAGTCCTGGTTCTAGTCCTGTTTTAGTCCTATTTTAGTCCTGGTTTAGTCCTAGTTTAGTCCTGGTTTAGTCCTGGTTTAATTCTGGTTTAGTCCTGTTCTAGTCCTGGTTTAGTCCGAGTTTAGTCCTGGTTTAGTCCTGTTTTAGTCCTGGTTTAGTCCTAGATTAGACTTGGTTTAGTCCTGGTTTAATTCTGGTTTAGTCCTGGTTTAGTCCTGGTTCAGAGTTTTGTTTTCACAAAATGGAGTCATGTTAAATTCATTTTTCAAAATGTCTCCCAGAGGAAACAGACTCGAGGTTAAACTCAGGAGTCGAACCCACAACCTCCAGACCAGCTCTGAAAACCAGGTGTTAAAAGCAGGTGTTAGAAGTGCCACCTGATGACGTCACCGGGTGGTCTTGTGGTTTCAGGTGGATGGGCGCGTCACCATGAGGCTCCGCGGGTTTTTCCTCCCCTCCCTGAAGCCCCGCCCCTTCCTCCCCCCGCGCCCCGCCCCGTCCAATCAGAGACGGGCCCGCCTGTCCGACGGCCCCGCCCCCCGTCCTCTGATTGGTCCGGACGTGCTGGTGCAGGGGCGGAGCTTCCCCCGCGACGACTTCACCAACGTCACGCCCAGAATCCTGGAGAAGGTCGGAGTGAATCTGCACAACGAGAAACAGCACCCCCTGTGGGTCATCAAGGAGAGGATCAAGGAGCACTTCTACAGGTCTGAGACCGAGACCAGGACCAAGACTAGGACCAAGACCAGGACTAAGACCAGGACCAAGACCAGGACTAACACTAACACCAAGACCAGGACCAAGACCAACACTAAACTAAGACCAGGACCTGTGGGTCATCAAGGAGAGGATCAAGGAGCACTTCTACAGGTCTGAGACCGAGACCAGGACCAAGACTAGGACCAAGACCAGGACTAAGACCAGGACCAAGACCAGGACTAACACTAACACCAAGACCAGGACCAAGACCAACACTAAAACTAAGACCAGGACCTGTGGGTCATCAAGGAGAGGATCAAGGAGCACTTCTACAGGTCTGAGACCGAGACCAGGACCAAGGACCAAGACCAGGACCAGGACCAAGACCAGACCAGACCAGGACTAACATTAACACCAAGAATAACACCAAGACCAACACTAAGACTAAGACCAGGACCTGTGGGTCATCAAGGAGAGGATCAAGGAGCACTTCTACAGGTCTGAGACCGAGACCAGGACCAAGACTAGGACCAGGACTAAGACGAGACCAGGACCAAGACTAGGACCAGGACTAAGACCAAGACCAGGACTAACACTAACACCATGAACAACACCAAGACTAACACTAAAACTAAGACCAGGACCTGTGGGTCATCAAGGAGAGGATCAAGGAGCACTTCTACAGGTCTGAGGGACCAGGACCAGGACCAAGACCAGGACTAAGACCAACACTAAACTAAGACCAGGACCTGTGGGTCATCAAGGAGAGGATCAAGGAGCACTTCTACAGGTCTGAGACCAGGACCAAGACCAGGACCAGGACTAAGACCAGGACTAAGACCAGGACTAAGACCAGGACTAACAGACTAACACTAACACCAAGACCAGGACCAAGACCAACACTAAAACTAAGACCAGGACCTGTGGGTCATCAAGGAGAGGATCAAGGAGCACTTCTACAGGTCTGAGACCGAGACCAGGACCAAGACCAGGACCAAGACCAGGACTAAGACCAGGACCAAGACCAGGACTAAGACCAGGACCAAGACCAGGACTAACACTAACACCAAGACCAGGACCAAGACCAACACTAAAACTAAGACCAGGACCTGTGGGTCATCAAGGAGAGGATCACGGAGCACTTTTACAGGTCCAAAACCGGGACCGGGACCAGAACCAGGACTAAGACCAGGGCTAAAACTAAGATTAACACCAACAGCAAGACCAAGAACTGGAACTGGGACTGGACCAGGGACAAGACCAGAGACGAAACTGGACTGGGACTGGGACCGGACTGGGTCCAGAACTGGACCGAACCAGGATTGGACAAGGACTGAACTGAACCAAGACGACACCAGAACTAATCCAGGACTAAAGCGGGACTAAAGCGGGACTAAAGCAGGTCTTGTTTCAGTTCGTACGTGGGCCGTTGGGGGAATCCTCTCTTCTCGGTTCATGATAATCTGAGTCCCGTCGTCACGGTCCAACAAAACTTCGACAGGTCAAAAAATATTAAAAAATATTATTATTTATATTTTTCTTTTTCATTTCACAGGTTTGATTTTATTTGACTTAAACCAGGACTGTTTTGTGTTCAGGACTTTGACTTCAGACTTGAACCAGGACTACTTGACTGAACCAGGACTGACCAGGACTAGACCCCCAGAGACCAGGACTAGAACCGAGCCAGGAACCAGACTAGAAGGAGACCAGGACTAGACCAGGACTGAACCAGGACTACACCAGGACTAAACCCAGGACTCAGGACCAGGACTAGACCAGGACTAGACCAGGACTAGGACCAGACTAGACCAGGACCAGGACTAGACCAGGACTAGACCAGGACTAGACCAGGACTAGACCAGACCAGGACTAGACCAGGACTAAACCAGGACCAGGACTAGACCAGAACTAGACCAGGACTAGACCAGGAACCAGGACTACTGAACCAGGACTACCAGGACTAGACCAGGACTAGACCAGGACTAGACCAGGACTAGAACCAGACTAGACCAGGACTAACCAGGACTAGACCAGGACTAGACCAGGACTAGACCAGGACTAGACTAAACCAGGACTAGACCAGACTGAACCAGGAACCAGGACTAGAACCAGGACTAGACCAGGACTAGGAACCAGGACTAGACCAGGACTGAACCAGGTAGACCAGGACTAAACCAGGACTAGACCAGGACTAGACCAGGACCAGGACTAGACCAGGACTAGACCAGGACTAGACCAGACTAGACCAGACTAGACCAGGACTAGAACCAGGACTAACCAGAGGACTGAACCAGGACTAGACCAGGACTAGACCAGGACTAACCAGAACCAGGACTACCAGGACTAGACCAGGACTAGACCAGGACTGACCCTAGACCAGGACTACTAGACCAGGACTAGACCAGGACTAGACCAGGACTAGACCAGGACTACTGAACCAGGACTAGACCAGGACTAGACCAGGACTAGACCAGGAAACCAGGAACTAGACCAGGACTAGACCAGGACTAGACCAGGACTAGACCAGGACTAGACCAGGACTAGACCAGGACTAGACCAGGACTAGACCAGGACTGACTAGACCAGGACTACCAGGACTAGACCAGAACTAGACCAGGACTAGACCAGGACTAGACCAGGACTGAACCAGGACTAACCAGGACTAGACCAGGACCAGGACTGACCAGGACTAGACCAGACTAGACCAGACTGAACCAGGACTGACTAACCAGGACTAGACCAGGACTAACCAGGACTAGACCAGACCAGGACTGAACCAGGACTAAACCAGGGAACCAGGAACTGAACCAGACTGAACCAGGACTGAACCAGAACTAGAACCAGGACTAGACCAGAACTGAACCAGGACTGACCACTGAACCAGGACTAAACCAGACCAGGACTAGACCAGGACTAGACCAGGACTAGACCAGACACCAGGACTAACCAGGACTGAAACCAGGACACCAGGACTAGACCAGGACTACTGACCAGGACTGACTGAACCAGGACTGACTGACCAGGACTAAACCAGACTGACCAGACCAGGACTAGACCCAGGACTAGACCAGGACTAGACCAGGACTAGACCAGACCAGGACTAGACCAGGAGACCAGGACTAGACCAGGACTAACCAGGACTACCAGGACTACCAGGACGACTAGACCAGGACTAACCAGGACTAGACCAGGACTGAACCAGGACTAAACCAGGACTAAACCAGGACCAGAACCAGAACTGAACCAGAACCAGGACTAGACCAGGACTAAACCAGGTCTAAACCAGGACTGAACCAGAACTGAACCAGGACTAGACCAGGACTGAACCAGAACTGAACCAGGACTAGACCAGGACTAAACCAGGTCTTGCTCCTGTAGGACGACGATGCTGCGCGCGCACACGTCTGCCCACCAGAGGGAGCTGGTGAGCGCGGGGCTGGACGCGTTCCTATTGGCCGGAGACGTTTATCGCCGTGACGAGATCGACTCGTCCCACTACCCTGTGTTCCACCAGATGGAAGGAGTCCGACTCTTCTCCGACCACGAGGTCAGACCCCACTTAGTCCTGGTTTAGTCCTGGTTTAGTTCTGGTTTAGTTCTGGTTTAGTCCTGGTTTAGTTCTGGTTTAGTCCTGGTTTAGTCCTGTTTAGTCCTGGTTTAGTTCTGGTTTAGTTCCTGGTTTAGTTCTGGTTTAGTCCTGGTTTAGTTCCTGGTTTAGTCCTGGTTTAGTCCTGGTTTAGTCCTGGTTTAGTTCTGGTTTAGTCCTGGTTTAGTCCTGGTTTAGTCCTAGGTTTAGTCTGGTTTAGTCCCTGGTTTAGTTCTGGTTTAGTCTGGTTTAGTCCTGGTTTAGTCCTGGTTTAGTTCTGGTTTAGTCCTGGTTTAGTCCTGGTTTAGTCCTGGTTTAGTCTGGTTTTAGTCTGTTTAGTTTAGTCTGGTTTAGTCTGGTTAGTTCTGGTTTAGTCCTGGTTTAGTCTGGTTTAGTCTGGTTCTGGTTTAGTTAGTCCTGGTTTAGTTCTGGTTTAGTTCTGGTTTAGTTCTGGTTTTAGTTCTGGTTCAGTTTGTTCAGATCCTGATTTGGGCCAAACTCTTGAAAAACTCCAAACCCCAGGATCATGTAGAGCGAGGTCAAAGGTCAGAATGATGGTCTGACCCTGGTCTTGGTCTGGTCCTGGACCTGGTCTGACCCCGGTCTTGGTCCTGGTCCTGGTCTGACCCTGGTCCTGGTCTCTGGTCCTGGTCCCGATCTTGTTCTTGTTCTCATTTCTTCTCGTCGGTGGACGGTGTCAGGTTCTGTCGTTGTTCTTGGTCCTGGTCTTGGTCTTGGTCTCTGGTCTGTGGTCTGTGGTCTCTGGTCTCTGGTCTCTGGTCCTGGTCTCTGGTTCTGGTCTCTGGTCTGGTCTCTGGTCTCTGGTCTGGTCTCTGGTCTCTGGTCTCTGGTCTCTGGTCTCTGGTCTCTGGTCTCTGGTCTCTGGTCTGGTCTCTGGTCTCTGGTCTCTGGTCTCTGGTCTCTGGTCTCTGGTCTGGTCTGGTCTTGGTCTCTGGTCTGGTCTGTGGTCTCTGGTCTTGGTCTCTGGTCTCTGGTCCTGGTCTCTGGTCCTGGTCTTGGTCCTGGTCTCGGTCTTGTTCTTGTCCTCAGCTCTTCTCGTCGGTGGACGGTGGTCAGGTTCTGTCGTTGTTCTTGTTGGTCTTGGTCCTGGTCTCTGGTCTCTGGTTCTTGGTCCTGGTCTTGGTCCTGGTCTTGGTCCTGATCTCTGGTCTCTGGTCTCTGGTCTCTGGTCTTGGTCCTGCTCTCTGGTCCTGGTCTTGGTCCTGTCTTGGTCCTGATCTCGGTCTTGTTCTGGTCCTCAGCTCTTCTCGTCGGTGGACGGTGGTCAGGTTCTGTCGTTGTTCTTGTCTTGGTCTTGGTCTCTGGTCTCTGGTCCTGTCTTGGTCCTGGTCCTTGGTCCTGGTCTTGGTCCTGGTCTTGGTCCTGGTCTGGTCCTGGTCTCTGGTCTGGTCCTGGTCTTGGTCCTGGTCTGGTCCTGGTCTCTGGTCTCTGGTCTCTGGTCTTGGTCCTGGTCTTGGTCTCTGGTCTCTGGTCCTGGTCTTGGTCCTGGTCTTGGTCCTGGTCTCGGTCCTGATCTCGGTCTTGTTCTGGTCCTCAGCTCTTCTCGTCGGTGGACGGTGGTCAGGTTCTGTCGTTGTTCTTGTTGGTCTCTGGTCTCTAGTCTTGGTCTCTGGTCCTGGTCTCTGGTCTCTGGTCTCTGGTCTGGTCCTGGTCTCTGGTCTGGTCTTGGTCCTGGTCTTGGTCCTGGTCTTGGTCCTGGTCTCGGTCCTGATCTCGGTCTTGTTCTGGTCCTCAGCTCTTCTCGTCGGTGGACGGTGGTCAGGTTCTGTCGTTGTTCTTGTTGGTCTTGGTCTCTGGTCTCTGGTCTCTGGTCCTGGTCTTGGTCCTGGTCTTGTGGTCCTGTCCTGGTCTTGGTCCTGGTCTCGGGCCTGATCTCGGTCTTGTTCTGGTCCTCAGCTCTTCTCGTCGGTGGACGGTGGTCAGGTTCTGTCGTTGTTTGAAGGTTCTGGTTGGAGGACGGAGCAGAAGCAGCAGGTCCACACGCTGGAGACGGTCAAACTGCTGGAGTTCAACCTGAAGGACACGCTCAGGTCCCTCGTCCTCACGCTCTTCGGACCAGGTACGTCAGATGCCCTCCCGCTGCCCTGTGCCCCTGATGCCCTCCCACTGTCCCTGTACGCCAGATGCCCTCCCGCTCTAACCCAGATGCCCTCCCCATATGTCAGATGCCCTCCCACTGTCCCCCTGTGTCCCTGTTGTGCCACTGTGGTTTCTGTTGTGCCCTGGTGCCCTATGTCCCTGTTTGTGTGATGCCTGTGTTTGATGCCCTGTGTTTGATCCCGCTCTAACCCAGATGCCCTCCCCATATGTCAGATGCCCTCCCACTGTCCCCCTGTGTCTGATGCCCTGTTTGTGCCCACTGTGTGTCTTCTGTTTGTGCCCTGGTGCCCTCTATGTGCCCTGTTTGTGCCCTCCTTGATGCCCTGTGTTTGATGCCCTGTGTGTTTGATGCCCTCTGTGTTTGATGCCCTGTGTTTGATGCCCTCTGTGTTTGATGCTCTGTGTTTGATGCCCTGTGTTTGATGCCCTCTGTGTTTGATGCCCTGTGTTTGATGCCCTGTGTTTGATGCCCTGTGTTTGATGCCCTCTGTGTTTGATGCCCTGTGTTTGATGCTCTGTGTTTGATGCCCTGTGTTTGATGCCCTGTGTGTTTGATGCCCTCTGTGTTTGATGCTCTGTGTTTGATGCCCTGTGTTTGATGCCCTCTGTGTTTGATGCCCTGTGTGTTTGATGCCCTGTGTTTTTTGCCCTGTGTTTGATGCCCGGTGTTTGATGCCCGGTGTTTTGTGCCCGGTGTTCAGAGGTGGAGCTGCGCTGGGTGGAGTGTTTCTTTCCGTTCACTCATCCGTCGTTTGAGTTGGAGGTTCGATTCCGAGGTCAGTGGCTCGAGGTGCTCGGCTGCGGAATCATGGAGCAACAAATACTGCACTCAG